TAATAGAATAACTTGGATTTGCTGGTACAAAATGTAAATTTAAAAGACACACTCAGATATATTTAAAAAAAAATCTGTGCTCTCTTATTTCCTTGAACAGTGGTTTGTAGTTCTCCTTGAAGAGGTCCTTTACATCATTTGTTAGTTGTATTCCTAGGTATTTTATTCCCTTTGTAGCAATTATGAATGGGAGTTCACTCATGATTTGACTCTCTGTTTGTCTGTTATTGGTGTATGGGAATGTCTGTGATTTCTGCACGTTGATTTTGTATCTTGAGACTGCTGAAGTTGCTTATCAGCTTAAGGAGATTTTGGGCTGAGATGATTTTGGGTCTTCTAAATATCCAATCATGTTGTCTGCAAATAGAGACAATTTGACTTCCTCTTTTCCTAATTGAATACCTTTTATTAATTTTTCTTACCTGATTGCTTGGCTAAAACTTCCAATACTATATTGAATAGGAGTGGTGAGAGAGGGCATCCTGGTCTAGTGCCAAATTTCAAAGGGAATGCTTCCAGTTTGTGCCCGTTCAGAATGATGTTAGCTGTTGGTTTGTTGTAAATAGCTTTTATTATTTTGAGATACATTCCATCAATACCTAGTTTATTGAGAGTTTTTAGCATAAAGGGCTATTGAATTTTGTCAAAGGCCTTCTCTGGATCTATTGTGGTAATCATGTGGTTTTTGTCTTTGGTTTTGCTTATGTGATGGATTACATTTATAGATTTGCATATGTTGAACCAGGCTTGCATCCCCGGGATGAAGCCTATATGATCGTGATGGATAAGCTTTTTGATGTGCTGCTACATTCAGTTTGCCAGTATTTGATTGAAGATTTTTGCATCAATGTTCATCATGCATATTGGCCTGAAGTTTTCTTTTTTAGTTGTGTCTTTGCCAGGTTTTGGTATCAGGAGGACACAAAAAGATGGAAAAACATTCCATGTTCATGGTTAGGAAGAATCAGTATCATGAAAATGGCCATACTGCCCAAAGTAATTTATAAATTCAATGCTATCCCCATCAAGCTATCATTGATCTTCACAGAAGTGGACAAAACCACCTTAAACTTAATATGGAACCAAATGAGAGCTTGCATAGCCAAGACAATCCTAAGCAAAAAGAACAAAGCTGGAGGCATTATGCAACCTGACTTCAAACTATACTACAAGGCTACAGTAATCAAAACAGCATGGTACTGGTACCAAAACAGAGATATAGACCAGTGGAACAGAACAGAGGCCTTGGAAGCAGTGCCACACATCTACAGCCATCTGATCTTTGATAAACCTGACAAAAGCAAGCAATGGAGAAACAATTCTCTGTTTAATAAATGGTGCTGGGAAAACTGGCTAGCCATGTGCTGAAAGCTGAAACTGGACCCCTTCCTGACAACTTACACTAAAATTAACTCCAGATGGATTAAAGATTTAAACATAAAACCAAACACCACAAAAATCCTAGAAGAAAACCTAGGCAAAACCATTCAGGATACAGGTATAGGCAAGGACTTCATGACTAAAACACCAAAAGCATTGTCAACAAAAGCCAAAACAGGCAGATGGGATCTAATTAAACTTAAGAGTTTCTGCACAGCAAAAGAAGCAATCATTAGAGTGAACCAGAAACCAACAGAATGGGAAAAAATGTTTGCAATCTACCCATCTGACAAAGGGCTAATATCCAGAATCTACAAACAACTAAAACAGATCTACAAGAAAAAAACAAAGAAACCCATTCAAAAGTGGGTGAAGGATATGAACAGACACTTGTCAAAAGAAGACATTTATGCAGCCAACGAACATATGAAAAAATGCTCATCATCACTGGACATTAGAGAAATGCAAATCAAAACCACATTAAGATACCATCTCCTGACAGTTAGAATGACGATCATTAAAAAATCTGGAGATAACAGATGCTGGAGAGGATGTGGAGAAAAAAGAGCACTTTACACTGTTGGTGGGAGTGTAAATTAGTTCCACCATTGTGGAAGACAGTGTGACGATTCCTCAAGGACCTAGAAATAGAAATTCTATTTGACCCAGCAATCCCATTACTGGGTATATACCCAAAGGATTATAAATCATTCTACTATAAAGACACGTGCACATGTATGTTCATTGCAGCACTGTTTACAATAGCAAAGATCTGGAACCTACCCAAATGTCCATCAATGATAGACTGGACAAAGAAAATGTGGCACATATACACCATTAAATACTATGCAGCCATAAAAAAACTATGAGTTCATGTCCTTTGTAGGAACATGGATGAATCTGGAAACTATCGTTCTCAGCAAACTGACACAAGAACAGAAAACCAAACGCCACATGTTCTCACTCATAGGCGGGTGTTGAACAATGAGAACACATAGGCACAGGGAGGGGAACATCACCTACTGGAGTCTGTTGGGGGTAGGGGGCTAGGGGAGGGACAGCAGGGGGCGAGGAGGTTGAGAAGGGATAACACTGAGAGAAATGCCAGATATAGGTGACAAGGGGATGCAGACAGCAAACCACCATGGCATGCATGTACCTATGAAACCACCTTCAAGATTTGCACATGTACCCCAGAACTTAAAGTACAATAAAAATTAAAAATTACCCATTTTCATGTAAGAAAAAAAGTTAAAAATCTGAATTTCTGGTGGTGGCACTCAGGACTCTCTTTTAAATAAATCACTTTGGGGACTCTTGTGTTGACCTTGGTGTGAGAGTATCTACCATAGTTGACACCGTAGAATTCTAAATGTCTTGATTTATGTTTAAAGTTGACTTTTGGCAATGGCCTAGAATGTTCAGTATAAACTTTGTTTCTCACATTAAACACTCAGAATCAATTACTTCCATATTTTACTGTTCATTTGCTGAGAAAGCAGAGGAGTAATACATTATCTTAACTGAGATATTCTCAGCCATGATACACTGATGGCACAATGAGACAAGGTCCTCATAATATTTCTCTTTTAATCCAAAGATATATGTTAAAAACAGGCAGTTATATCCAGTGTAATTCAATTGGGTTGTACATTGCCAAGAACACTAATCAAATTGTAAAAATGGAGGTGTTTGGATAATGAAACAGAATATAGTAGTCTCAAAGAATTTTTCCATTTACTGAAACTTAACATCACTAGTTATGTAGAGCTTGCTTAAGATAAAACATATAATATAGACAAAGCAAAGCTAAGAAGTTTCATTCCAAGTCTTGCAGTAAATTATGCATGTAAACACTGAAAAGACTCTAACACTGTCCAATGGAAATGTACATGTTGGCTAGAAACGTATATGTTGAAATCCTAACCTCCAATGTGATATTAGGGAGTGGGGCCTTTGGGGGAAATTAGGTCATGAAAGTGGAGCTCTCATCAATGGGATTAGCGCTGTTATAAAGGAGACCCCTGAGAGCCCTCCAGTCCTCTTTCTGCCACATGAGACTACAATGAGCAGATGGCAGTCTGCAAACTGGAAGAGGACCCTCACCAGAACCCAACCATGTTGGTACCCTGATCTTGCACTTCCCTGACTCCAGAGCTGTGAGAAACAAATTTCTGTTGTTTATAAGCCATCCTGTCTATAGTACTTTGTTTCATCAGGACAAACTAGAACAATGGTTTTAAAAGAGAGTAAAGCAAACAGAGAAACAAAGTTTGTGAGAGTTGTGTGTAAGGCACATAGAAATAAATACCATAAATATAATAATAAGTGACAAACTAAAAATTATAGGAAACAATGAAAAACTGTTTCACCTTAGTTGTATCAAAAAGGATGATCCATTTTTTTACTACCAGTATTCAGAAACAGTGCCTTTTGTAAAAAACAAAAAACAAACAAACATAAAAATAACTCATGGCTTGAAAATTGATTTCTATTATAACTGGTGGCATAGCCAACTGACTGAACTCTCCAAGAAATATCTTTATCTATTTAATGCATCAGTTGAAATAGCCCCATATTATTCATTGAGAATTATTATTAGAATGAGATATAGATCTATTCTATTCTCAAATTAGTACAACATGACTTTTATACTAAATGTATCATTGGAGACATTTTGTTACACAGATAATATATTGACATTTTTGATTATATGATTTTCATCTAAATAGAGCAAGTGATATAATGAACAAAGATGAATAAGCACTTTGTGTGTTGACTTGATGTTATTAATATTTATCCCAAAGATTGTTTTATACTAAAAGATACTATAAAAGGACATTGGAAAGATACAAATTCTAAAAGTGGTTGGAATAACTATTCATATTGGAAAACATCACAGAATAGAATTGTAAGAACAGATTAAGTAAATTATAGTTTACTGAACAAAATTAGTAGTGCATATTTTAAAATGCCAATAAGAAATCAACTTAATATTATCTTTGCAGATGAGTGACAAAAGGTAATAATTAGGTGTAGAATGTCTGGTGTGAATGGAAACATTTACATCTCATCATAAATGTTTTCTTTCACATTTATTTGATATTCATCAAAATCAAATTTATTTGATGAATATGATATTCATATTCACAAATATCAAAAAATCATTGATTTATGTGACTATCAAATAAATCATTTGAATCAAATATTCATTTGATAGTCATGCTTATATCTCCATAATATAGATATAAAGTCTTACCTTTTGGTTAAAAAAATCAGTATCTTCCTGAGAGATATTCATGGAACCTACTATTATCACAAATCCATCAGAAAATCATGATAAATTTTTTGATTATATATTATATTACCACAAATGTGTTTCTAAATTTGACAATATATCTAAACAGCTAATAGTGTTAACTAAATTATACCTCAAGTCATCTCTACTCTGCTTGAGCATCAATAAGAACAAGAAGTTTCCTGAAATACATATAATTTCTCTTGAATCATTTTTGATTCACATTGCACATATTCATAATCTTGTCCTTCCTTTCTCTGACAGTTGGCATAAGATTGCATATCTTTAGAAAAGAAATGGCAGTATGAAAAAAAAGAAATATGTGCTTGCTTTGGGAGCACATATAGTAAAACTGGAATGATACAGAAAACATTAGCATGGCCCCTGCCCAAGAATGGCATGCAAATTCATGAAGCATTACATATCTTTAACATGGCATATATACACCATGGAATACTATGCTGCCATAAAAAAACACGTTTTGTCCTTTTTAGAGACATGCATAAAGCTAGAAAGCATCATTCTCAGCAAACTTACACAAGAACAGAAAACCAAATACCACGTTTTCACTCATAGGCAGGCGATGAACAATGAGAACACTTGGGCACAGGGAAGAGAACAACACTCACTGGGCTAGGTGGGGGGGGTGGAGGGGAGGGGAATGGAGGGACAGCAGGGGGACGGGAGGATGGGGAAAGATAACACCAAGAGAAATGCCTGATACAGGTGATGGCAGGGGGTCGGGGGAATAGAAACAGCAAAACATCATGGCATGTATGTACCTATGTAACAATCTGCAGGATGCAGGATGTGCAATGTACACGAGAGCCTGAAATACAATTTAAAAAACAAAACAAAATCCAAAAAAAAAAAACAAAGAAAAGAGAAAAAAGAAAGAAAGAAAAGAGAGACAGAGAAAGAGAAAGAGAGAGAAAGAGAGGGCAACAGAAGCCCTAGTTGCATGCTTGGGGTCCCATATGCCTGGTGTCCCTGTAAGAGGACATTTGGACACACAGGGAAAGTACCATGCGAGGACACAGCAAGCAGGCATCCAGGCCTTAATCTTAAACCCCCAGATTCAGAACTGTGAAAAATAAACTACTGTTGTTCAAGCCAAAGAAAAAATAAGAATATGTTATTAATTCAAATTAATGTCTATCTTTCTGGCTAAAACAATGAACTGATTTTAATTTGATAATAAAATTAGTTTATCTTTGAAAACAGCAATATTAGTAATAATATTTTCAACATCCTCTATAATAATATGAAGAAGTTAAAGACTTGATCCTGCAGCTTGTCATCTGGAATTATAAAATGATGCTGAGTTTTTCTCCTATTTTCAGAGACAAAATCTGAGACCCTAAAGGGCTAAATGACATATGCACAGTTGATGTACCCAGATAGTGGCAGCTCATATTCTCAGCAAGGCAATGGAACCCAGCCAAACCAGTCTTCAGTTAGTGGCTCTCTTTATTTTTATTTTTTTTCAGACAGAGTCTTGCTCTGTCACGAGGTTGGAGTGCAATGGCTTGATCTCAGCTCACTGCAACATCTGCTTCTCCGGTTCTAGCTATTCTCCTGCCTCAGCCTCCTGAGTAGCTGGATGACAGATGCCTGCCACCACACCGGACTAATTTTTTTATTTTCAGTATGGACAGGGTTTTGCCATGTTAACCAGACTGGCCTCAAACTCCTGACCTCAATGATCCACCTGCTTCAAGTTCCCAAAGTGCTGGGATTGCAGGCATGAGCTACTGTGACTGGCCTGGTTTGTGGCTCTTCTAATTTTGTTTTATAGCTAATTTATTTATTCTACTAATATATATTTTAGGCATCAATTATTTAATACAAAGTTATCAGTAGCAAAAAATAAGTAGTTCCTAGGTAGAAACTTTTATAAATAACTGAAGAATTTAAAAGCTGAACCTTTCAAAAAATTTTTTTATACTGTTTTTAAATGACCTGTATTTACTTTTACTCAGAACAGAAAGGATGTGTTAAGAGAATTATATATTTCCAGCAAAAAAGCAAAAGCTAATTTTGGTTATTCAGCAACACCAAGTGTATAAAGAAGATATAATTTAGAAGGTTAAAATAAAGCTGTTATTTTAAAAATTACATTTAAAAATTATATGTGTATTTCCCAAAACAGAAATAGATTTCTTAATTTATGCTCACAAAGAACCTAAACTTGGGGGAAGGGATACTATTCCTTAATAAGACCTAAGCATTCTGTAAACACAGTAAATTGTCCTTGTGTAATTCAGCCTATCACATGGCCAGAGCCATCCCTAGCAGCAACAGAATCTTGTCACTAAAACTCAAACTACCTGCCAACATTTTCAAGGTTAATGGAGTGAAACCATCTCAACAAAAGCTACTTTTTTTTTTTAAGTAAGTTTGTGTTCTTGGATGCTTTATTATATGTGGACTTCCTTATGAGACACAAGAAATTATATAATGCCTATCTGATAAAAACACACTGAATAATCAACTTCTTGCGATAGAAAGTAAATTCTTTTCAATGAGGAACTACATTTAAAAACTCTCCAAAAGTTGTAATAATAACTATTCCTTTCCTTTATTGTAATATTATAAAGTGTAGATTCAAATGTATTTAATTTTAGGTAAAAATATGCTTGGTTTTGAGATAGAGAAAAGAAACTAACCATAAGATTCTTTAATTAAAATTTCTTTAATTATTTTTTAAAGGGTATTAAACTACCAGTACCTTACTAATATTTCAAAAGACTTTTTTTTCATTTAAGAAAATGCCTCTCTTAAAGAAGTGACATTCTATTTTTTCACCCCTTGAGGAATTGCAGAAAGCAGAGAATTAAGTCAAGATTGGTTTTAGAGGCACTGACTTAGAATATTAAATCAGCATGTCTAATTCACATAGAACAATGCCTTTTGAACAAAAAGCAAACCCCAAACCACAGGACCTTACATTTGTAGACAAAGTTTTCATTACATTTACTGTGCAAATATTAAATCATTTTATTTCAAAAATTAGATTATCACTAAAAATTCTGAATTTTGCAAATTTTTCTATCCATATATTTATCTATCAATAAATAATATGTGGAAGTGAAAATATAAAACTTATAAGATGTACTTATAATTTAAAAGTTATAATTTGTTTAAATAAAACTGATATTTTATCTAACATTCCTCTATCAAAACATGTTTCTGACAAAACAAATATGTTAAATTACTCACATAATTTTTTCTAAAAAAAATCAGTTCAGCTAAAACTTGTGAATAATCTACCAATTACATAATGTCTCCTTAATAAATTCTATATTCTTTAAATAACAGAATAATAATTTTTTTCACAACTCACCACATATAAACTTTCATTATATTCATATTCCAAAAAATTAGCAATGTAGAGTTTACACTGGAACTGGATGCATTTATAATTTTAAAAACAGAACAGCAGAAATTCAGAATTTTTATCTTGATCTTTAAGAAAGAAACTCATTATTAGTTAAGTCAACCCAAATCTTATTACATTTTTATTTATTCCTCATACATTTTTACAGTGCTAAGAAACATAAAATGTTTTATATCTGCAAATGTTGACATTATCAGCTAATAAACCTACAAGTTCCTCTAAATGACAGATACTGCAATAAGTTAGTATAGAATAGGATACTTTAGAAACTTCAACCCTAAAATAAATATTCTCAAAATATTTATTTTGGATATTTAAAGGCACTTTTATAATTTGTTCAGGGATACAATTTTCCTTGAAAATATTATAAAGGAAAAAATTTCATCTAGGTGTACTATTAATATGTTGCATCGTTAAACGTGTTCACAGGAATGAATGTAAATAAATGTAGATACTCAAAGATTCTTCCGTGTCCTGAAAAATATTTATCCTTGTCTTTTGCGATAAGGTCTCTTACCTGCAATCTCACCAGAGAGGGAGGTGGGAAGGGGCACCTCCAAGAAGATCCAATAGATCAAGGTAGGGAATTAGTTGTTTCTGGACGGAAAACATTTAATTAAGATAATTTCCGATTTTGTATCTCCCTCTGTGCAGATGAAAAGGCTCGCTGTAGGGAAGACAAACGGCCCCCATTGGCTGTAAACAGGATAGAACAAATATCCTGCAGCTCCACAAGGAAACCCAGGCCCCCCCACCACCACCACTGGCTAGTAATGTAGAGGAAGCTATCTCCTACAGACTTCAGAGATAAGTCCAAGAAAGGCATATTGATATGAGAATCATGGGCACATTGAGAAGAAAGAGGAAACAGAGCTAAATCATTCATTGTGGCGTAGTTCCACGATTGTGTCATGGTGCACTCAGATTTCTGAACACAAAATGGTTGGGACTTCACATATCAAAAATCATGGCTGTTATCTTTCTAAAGTGTGTGTGGAGTTACAGGGGCACTAATACTTCTGATTTGATTTGACTCAGCTCTCTTGTTATAATTTAAGTTATTGTGAATGACTTTGTCATGTTTATTTGCATATACTTATCACTAGAGTTATGTCCTGTCAGTCACTGACTGGCTCCCTGTACTTGGTAATTCATTCAACCTCTCTGGCACTCTATACAATGTGGACACTGGGTTAGATGCTTTCAAAAAACACTACCCTATACATCAATAGGATTTTATAATTATATATTCAGAAACCTGCCCTTGTACCTTAGGAACTATCTTTACATTTAGAGAAGGATATTTTAAGCTACTAGCTTTCTTGTAATATTACTCAAACTTAAATAATACAGCCCCTCTTTGAAAGAAAAGCATTCACAGATCTTCAGTGTGGAACTAAATTATTTTTTCTAAGTTTAAATACAAAATTGCATTTGAATTCCTAATACTTATAATCTTCTAAAATTATACAATCTAGAGAAATGCATACAATATCAACAAAGCTATGAAATAAATTTACAGCTCTTCCCACTAACTTGAACTGGGAAATTGAATATTTTATTTTTCACGATCTAGAAGAAGAATGTCTTGATACTAAGTCAATTGAGAACAATGCTTACTTCATCAATGTTTGAAAAATCAGTGCAACCATTACACATTTAATCTAGTTTCCTTAATTACTGGAATGGTCAAACAATCTATTCTTTAGTTCAAAGAATTTGTCACTGACAAGGTTTGTGAAATACTACATATCACATTATTAAGGGCAAATCAATATACCTTGACATTTAGAAAGAAGTAACTAAGACCAAGCAGTTATAAATTTAAAAGGATAATTGTAAAGATTTAAAATTTGATTCAAAACTTTCAACTCTACAAAAACATAACAAGGAAAATCTAGCTTAGCTGCTTTTCATGTGATAGATCAGGAGAAAGACTACAATCTCTGTTTGAGCCGAGTCATATGAAGCAGCTACGTTCATTCACTCTCTCTCCATCTGAAGCCTTCCATTAAGTACCCATGACTTTTCTAACCTTACCTTTAGAGGTTAAAAATCAAATATTCAATTACATGCTTTAAAAAAACCCTGAAAATTGCATCCTCATAAAATACTTTAATATAAATATCTCGATAATTATCTACCTTTGAAGGTAAATTACATGTATGCAATCAGTTTGGAGCCAAGTCAGGATAATCTACCTCTATCAATAATATTTACAGTTCATCATGTCTTTTAAATTCCTACTCAGGACTCAAACCATTGTTTACCTCCGTTGCCACAGATTCGGGAGAAGTAAATCTCATAGTATTAAAAAGCTACAACTATTATACTGAAAAAGTCCCTGATACTTCAGGTCTCAACATTCAAGAAACATAGATTAGACTAGGCCATTTCTAAGTTGTATATATGATTTCCATGTCCATGGTATTCTAATACGAAACTTCAAGAGTTACAGTAACTTATCAACTAAACGATATCTTCTCAGTCTGACCCACTCAGGCAATAGCCCTTTGTCTTTTCAAAATAATGACCAGCAAACACTGGTTGAATGCCCACTATGTGTCAGAAAATGGTCTAAGTATGAAGAAGCCATAATGCACATTAATTTGATGTGATTAAATGCAGAGGAATGAGGATGTTGGGGATGGAGGAGGGGAATAAATTGAGAAGACATAAACTTGGTACTGGGATGTGAAGAAAATGGAATGCATCCTGACGATTTGGGATTTTTCCTCTAAGCAAAGAAAAATCATAAAAACTTTTCAATGGGTGACTGTCATGATCATATGCAAATTTTAGGAAGAACTCTGGTAGGAGTGTGGTTGGTGGACAAAAGAGGGAGGGAAATAAAAATAAATAGGGGTTTATAAAAAATCAAAAAACATATGTTGTGGTTCTAAAATTGTGGTAATAAATTCAGAGGTAAAGAGAAGTTTGGGATAAATGTAAAGATGTAATCCACAGGACCTTCATGAAGTTTGGTTAAGGATAGGACAGAGTAAAGACATAGCATAAAATATTAATTAAATAAATATTAATTATTGACAGCCTATTAGGATTCTAGCATAGATTAACATCAGCCATGAACCAAGACAGGAAATATTAGGAGAGGAAGACTAGGGATAAAGACAGAGCTCATTAAAGTGTTGGTTTTCTTCAGGTCAGCAAATCAAAAATATATGAATGTCAGTTGGAGATACTGAACTTTGGAGAATTCAAGCTAAAGATTAAGAGTTCTTTCATGTGGAGGTTAAAGGTTCTCTACATCTCGTAGGGAGGTAGCTTTTTCTACCTCTTAGCATGGTGCCTAACACATAGTTGATTTTCAAAAAATGTTTTATGGCTGGCTGGTTGAATGCTTTATCTCAAATTCAGGTGGAAATTTGTGTTGGCTTTTACAAGCTGTATCAGTTTCTAAAAATAAAGTGGGGGATGAAGTTCATGAGACAAGAAACTCATTATATTTTACATTTAAGAAGTTAATGTCACAGAGGATCACAAAAAGACTGAGAAGGAAAGCTGATGGAGGAAATGGACTGGATGGAAGAAAAGTAGAAGATGGAGGGAATTACCTTGGGAAAGAACAAAAACACTAAACACTTCCTTCAAAGACTGGAAGGTAATTCTCAAGGTCAGATTCCTTAAAGTAGAAATGCTGAACTAAATAGATCCTTAAATCTTATGTGGCCTTAGTCTTACCCCACTGTAGTTGTTCTTTCATATCTTCAAAGATTCATTTTCCCCAAGGTCTACTCATAAAACTCACCAGCCTATATTCAATGGTTTTATGCCTAGTGTATTCAAGTAGATCACTTGGGCATTTTAAGAATTTGCACAAACTAACCTCATCTCTTCCCATAAAATAGAATATTAGAATGTGAAATTTGAATATTATGATAAGTTGTGCTAAACTGATAAAACAACACCTAAGTAAGTCTATGACAAGGATTACATGTTGTTTTCAAATATTTCCAAAACATTTTAAACATCAATCACATTCAAACCCTAGTGTGTATACCTGATACACTTAGAGATATTTTCATAGAAATAAATCTCAGAATTTAAAAAATCGAATGAGAAATACACTAGGTTTTAGCCAACTATGGTGGCTCTTGCCTGTAATCACAGCATTTTGATCCACCAACCTGGACTGGTCACTTGAGGTCAGGAGTTTGAGACCAGCCTGGCCAACATGGCGAAACCCTATCTCTGCTAAAAATACAAAAATTAACTAGGTATGGTGTTACGAGTCTGTAGTCTCAGCTATTAAGGAAGCTAAGTCACCATGAGAATTACTTAAACCCAAGAGGTGAAGGTTATAGTGAGTGGAGATTACACCACTGCACTCCCACCTGGGCAACGGCGCAAGACTCCCTCTCCAAAAACAAACAGACTAGGTATCAAGCAAATTAGTAAATCAGGAAGAGAAATATATCAAACAAGTAAATTCCACTTTTGGCTTTTTGAGAGAACCAATAAAACAGGCAAACTTCGGGCATACATTATCAGTGAAAAAGGGAGAAAAACACGTAAAAATTAGAAATGATGGGGAGTCTATCAAACCTCTTCAACAATAATTTTTCAAACCACATGACTATAATTTATAAATATGTGGCAGTAAAATGAGAAACTTAACAAAATGAACAATGCTTTTTAAAATACCAGATTGGAAATTAACTCAATAATAAGTAGAATTCCTACAAAATTCAAAGAACAATTGATGAAAATATTTTTCCTAATTTTACCTCCAAAACAGATTCTGTGGTCTGATTATTCTACTAGTAAGTAAGTAATAGTTCCTGCCACATAATTATAATTTTTTATTTTGTTTGTAATTATTTACATATATATATATATAACTCCACAAAAAAGTTTTATAAAGTTCAATGTGAATATAACATCCTTAATAGTACCAAATAGATTCCAAGCAATAAAAAATACTACATATCATTCTTATTTTGGAGCATTCTTCAAAATTCTCAAGTAAACAAAAAGGAATTGAGCTAAGGAATGTAATGAAAGTAAGCTTCCAGCTATGCAAGAGTAACAGAATATTAGCAAATCAGCTGACCAAGAGGGGAGAACCAAATCATCTTCTCAACAGATTTTAAAACATTAATTTATATGTAATCAAGATTTATAGAACAACAACAGAAATTTCTGATAATCAAATATAGTTAATTAAGAATAGAATTACTTCTTAAGAAAAAGAATAAAACTTATACAAATAGTCAACACAATATTTAAATTACAATCATGAAAGACATTACTAATAAAATCAGAAACAACAAAGAGTTATTCAGTTACTTCATGTTACAATGAAAGACACAGCCAAGGCAATAAGTAGTGAACTCAAAAAATGTATGATGCTAAAAAGGAAAGAAATTAAAGTATTTAAAATTGTTATTAGTTTTAGAAAATATTATTTTCTAGCTGGAACCACAAAAAAACTAACTGAAGAATAATTGCTATTTATAAAGAGCTAAATGAGATATCAGTATACAAAATATGTATACCTTAAGAATTCCAACAATCAATTCAAATACAATAGATAATTTTGCGATATCTAACACATATGAGCTAGGCATTGTTCTATGCACCTAACTTGTATCAACATATTTCAGGACAACCCCAACAGCTAGGTATGTATCATTAGCTCCATTTTGCAGATGAGAAGGGAAAGCCCAGAGAGAGTTAAGGATTTGCCCAAGTTCACAGAGAGAGCAGGTGGTGGAGCAGGCATTTATAATCCAGCTGCAGAGGAAGTGGGGCTAGAGGAGGCCAATCTGTATTTTACATCATCATCACACTAATCTCTTGAATTTTTACAGTAGATTGTGTGTTCATATACTGAAAACATTCACCAATTCATACAGAGGGTTGGTAGGTTACATTAGGTAATGAGAATATGGATTTTTAAAATTTGTATTTGTGTGCTTCTAATTTATCCATTATAAACATCATATCATTCATAAGAAAAAGTATGATAAATGCAATTTTGAAGCACACTGGTCATGAGCTCAGATGGAGAACGATCTGCATTTTAGGCATCTCTTATATTCAACAGCATTAAAATAATTTGCACCATCTGACTGACAGCGTGATTGTCATAAACTTAACCATAAAGTTTTCAGGGAGACAGTTCCTGCCACATAATAATAAAGAAGAAGGAGAATGACTTCATGTATCCTACCTCAAATCTTGAGAAAACAAATACTTAATGAAGATGATGCCCAAAGTGACGTTAGACCAGCTTATCCAAGTGTCAAATGTGTGAGGGTACTGAATTGGATATGATTTCAAAACATAGTTAATTACGTATCTATGGAAGGCTATAGGTTATATGTTTTATAATTTTACTATAAGAAAATAAATAATACATAATTATCTGAAAAGATAGTTTTATGTATATATTTTGATATACAATTCTTCCTATATATTGTTTACAAAATATTTGCCAGTAGCCTGTTTTCAGACATTTTACCTTTTACCAGATTTTAGAGTAAAGTGATTAAATAGTTCCCAGGTTTACATGCCATAGATTTACATTTTAGGATTACAATTTTTAAATAAAATTTAAAAAAACTCTTTAGTGATTCTAGTCTTCAGTGATTCTAGTTTTTCTTATAAAAACAGTAAAACATGAGTGAAGAACAGTAAATCAAATTTCTCATTTCAATACTCAGAAAGTTATACTAATTATGAATAAGAAATATAAAATAAGTTGTTCTGCTTACCATTTGAATAGAATGCTTGGAATTCTATTTGGAAAATTATCCGAGTAAAACTCAGGAAGATCTGAAAAAATAAGGATGATTGAGGAAGATTAATTCAACCTATTTTATATATTATTTGATGTATTAATTCCCTGTAACCTTTGACTCATACCCATTGCAGACTCCCACAAGGATACATTCAGACTCATAATTTTCACTTACTATGACTATTATGTAAACACAGGAAATAGCATGTGTCTTTTATTTATTCACAGACTCTTTTTAGTGTTAGGAGCTACCTTTCCAGCCTGACTGCCCTCAACCTCAACTCTGGCCTTCAGGAATCACACAGTGCAGTTAAAAGAAATAATTCACTCTACACTCTGACTTGATGCTTCTCTTAAACAGAATCAAGTACCACTTAAACAGAATCAAGTACCACTTTCTCATGACTTTTTTTAAAATCATACTTTAAGTTCTGGGTTACATGTGCAGAATGCGCAGGTTTTTTACATAGACATAATAAATGTGCTATGGTGGTTTGCTGCACCCATCAACCCCTTATCTACATTAGGTATTTCTTATAATGCTATCCCTCCCCTAGTACCCCATGCTCCAACAGACCCCAGTGTGTGATATTCCCCTACTTGTATCCATGTGTTCTTATTGTCCAACTCCCACTAATGAGTGAGAACATGCGGTGTTTGGTTCTCTGTTCCTATGTTAGTTTGCTAAGAATGATGGTTTCCAGCTTCATCCATGTCCCTGCAAAGGACATGAATTCATCCTTTTCTATGGCTGCATAGTATTCTATGGAGCCATTCTATGGAGTATTCTATATGTGTCACATTTTCTTTATCCATTCTATCATTGATGGGCATTTGGGTTGGTTCCAAGCCTTTCTTATTGTGAACAGTGCCTCAATAAACATATGTGTGCATGTGTCTTTATAGCAGAACAATGATTTATAATCTTCCGGGTATGTATCCAGTAATGGGATTGCTGGGTCAAATGGTATTTCTGGTTCTAGACCCTTGAAAAATCACCACACTGTCTTCCACAATGGTTGAATTAATTTACACTCCCACCAACCGTGTAAAAATGTTCCTATTTCTCCACATTCTCTCCAGCATCTGTTGTTTCCTAACTTTCAATGATTGCCATTCTAACTCGCATAAGATGGTATCTCACTGTGGTTTTGATTTACATTTCTCTAATCACCAGTGATGATGAGCTTGTTTTCATATGTTTGTTGCCCGCATAGTGTCTTCTTTTGAGAAGTGTCTGTTCATATCCTTCACCCACTTTTCGATGGGATTGTTTTTTTCTTGTAAATTTGTTAAGTTCTTTGTAGATTCTGGATATTAGCCCTTTGTCAGATGGATAGATTGCAAAAATTTTCTCTATTCTGTAGGTTGCCTGTTCACTCTGATGATACTTTCTTTTGTTGCACAGAAACTCTTTAGTTTAATTAGATCTCATTTGTCAATTTTGGCTTTTGTTGCCATTGTTTTTGGTGGTTTAGTCATAAAGTCTTTGCCCATGCCTATGCCCTAAAGGGTATTGCCTAGGTTTTCTTCTAGGGTTTTAAGGGCTTACATTTAAGTTTTTAATCCACCTTGAGTTAATTTTTGTGTAATGTGTAAGGGAGGGGTCCAGTTTCAGTTTTCTGCATATGGCTAGCCAGTTTTCTCAACATCATTTACTAAATATGGAATCCTTTTTGCTTGTTTTTTGTCAGGTTGCTCAAAGATCCAATGGCTATAGATGTGTGGTGTTATTTCTGAGACCTCTGTTCTGTTCCATTGGTCTATACATCTGTTTTGGTACCAACGACATGTTGTTTTAGTTACTGTAGCCTTGTAGTATAGTTTGAAGTCGAGTAGTGTGATGCCTCAAGCTTTGTTCTTTTGCTGAGGATTGTCTTGGGTATATGGGCCCATTCCACATGACATTTAAAGTAGAAGTTTTTCTAATTCTGTCAAGGAAGCCAATAGTAATTTAATAGGGATAATCTATAAATTACCTTGGGCAATGTGGTCATTTTCACTATATTGATTCTTCCTATCTATGAGCACGAAATGTTTTTTCATTTTTTGGTGTCCTCTCTTATTTTCTTGAGCATTGGTTTCCAGGTCTCCTTGAAGAGGTCCTTCACATCCCTTGTAAGTTGTATTCCTAGGTATTTTATTCTCTTTGTATTAATTGCGAATGGGAGTTGACTCATGATTTGGCTCTCTGTTTGTCTATTATTGGTGTCTAGGAATGCTTGTGAATTTTGCACATTGATTTTCTATCTGAGACCGCTAAATTTGCTTATGAGCTTAAGGAGATATTGGCTGAGATCATGAGGTTTTCTAAATATACAATCATGTCATCTGCAAACAGAGACAATGTAACTTCCTCTCTTTCTATTTGAATACACTTTATTTCTTTCTCTTGCCTAATTGTCCTGGTTAAAATTTTCAATCCTATGTTGAAAAGGAGTGATGAGAGAGGGCATCCTTGTCTTGTGCTGGTTTTCAAAGGGAATGCTTCCAGCTTTTGCCCATTCCATATGATATTGGCTGTGGCTCTGTCATAAATAGCTCTTATTATTTTGAAATACTTTGCATCAATACCTTGTTCATTGAGAGTTTTTAGCATGAAGTGATGTTAAATTTTACCAAAGGCCTTTCCTGCATCTATTGAGATAATCATTTGCTTTTGGTCATTGTTTTTGTTTATGTGATGATGTTTACTTATTTGCATATGTTGAAGCAGCCTTGCATCCCAGGGATGAAACTGACTTTATCATGGTGGATAAGGTTTTTGATGTGCTGCTGGATTCTGTTTGCCAGTATTTTATTGAGGATTTTCGCATGGATGTTCATCATTGATATTGGCCTGACATTTTCTTTGTGTGTGTGTGTCTCTGCCAGGTTTTGGTATCAGGATGATGCTGGACTCATAAAATGAGTTAGGGAGGAGTCCCTCTTTTTCCATTGTTTGGAATAGTTTCATAAGGAATGGTACCAGCTCCTCTTTGTATCTCTGGTAGAATTTGGCTGTGAACCCATCTGGTCCTGAACATTTTTGGTTGGTAGGCTATTAATTGCTGCCTCAACTTCAGACCTTTCTGGTACACCAATCAAACATAGGTTTGGTCTTTTCACATAGTCCCATATTTCTTGGAGGCTTTGCTTATTCCTTTTCATTTTTTTTCTCTAATCTTGTCTTTATGCTTTATTTCATTAAGTTAGTCTTCAATCTCTGATATCCTTACTTCCGCTGAATCGATTTGGCTATTGATACTTGTATGCTTCAGGAAGTTCTCATGTTGTGGTTTTGAGCTTCATCAGGTCATTTATTTTCTTCTCTAAACTGTTTATTCTAATTAGCAAGTCCTCTAACCTTTTTTCAAGGTTCTTAGCTTTCTTGCACTGGGTTGAAACATGCTCCGTTAGCTCAGAGGAGTTTGTTATTACCCTCCTTGTAAAGCCTACTTCTGTCAATTAGTCAAACTCATTCTCCGTCCAGTTTTGTTCCCTTGCTGGAAAGGAGTTATGATCCTTTGGAGGGGAAAAGGCATTCTGGTTTTTGGAATTTCCATCCTTTTTGTTCTGTTTTTTCTCATCTTCATGGATTTCTCTACTCTTTGTCTTTGATGTTGGTGGTCTTCAGATGGGGCTTGTGCGTAGACATCCTTTTGTTGATGTTGATGCTAATTTTCTTAATTTTCCTTCTAACTACTCAGCTACCATAGGTCTCCTGGAGTTTGCCAAAGGTCCACTCCAGACCCTATTTGCCTGGGTATCACCAGTGGAGACTGCAGAACAGCAAAGATTGCTGCCTGTTTCTTCCTCTAGAAGTTTCACCCCCAAGAGGGCTCCCACCGAATATCTGCTGCAGCTCTCCCAAATGAGGTGTCTGTTGACCCCTGCTGGGAGGTATCTCCCAGTCAGGAGGCACCAGGGTCAAGAACCCACTTAAAGAGGCAGTCTGTCCCTTAGCAGAGCTTGAGCACTGTGCTGGGAGATCTATTGCTCTCCTCAGAGCTGGCAGGCAGGGAAGTTTAAGTTTGCTGAAGCTGCACACACAGCTATCCCTTTCCACTGGTTCTCTGTGGTAATGGGAATTTTATCTATAAACTCTTAACTGGGGCTTCTGCCTTTCCTTCTAAGATGCCCTTTGCAGAGAGGAGGAATCAAGACAGGCAGTCTGGCTTTGCCAAGCTGTGGTGGGCTCTACCAGTTTGAACTTTTCGGAAGCTTTGTTTATACTGTAAGGGGAAAACCACCTACACGGGTTTCAGTAATGGTGCACGCCCCTCCCCCCACTAAGCTCAAAAATCCCAGGTCAACTTCAGACTGCTGTGCTGGCAGTGAGAATTTCAAGCCAGTGGATCTTAGCTTGCTGGGCTCCATGGGAATGGGATTCGCTAAGCTAGACCACTTTGGCTCTCTAGCTTCAGCCTCCTTTCCAGGGGAAGAAATGATTCTGTCTTGCTGGCATTATAGATGCCACCGGGGTATGCAAAAAAAAAAATAATAAAAAAATAAAAAACTCCTGCAGCTAGTTCAATGTCTGCCAAAATGGCCACCCAGTTTTGTGCTTGGAATCCAGGTCCCTGGTGGTGTAGGGACCCAAGGGAATCTCCTGGTCCACCGGTTGTGAGGACTGTGGGAAAAACATAGTATCTGGGCTGCAGCACAGTCCCTCACAGCTTCCCTTGTCTAGGGGAGGGAGTTTCCCAGCTCCTTGCACTTCCTGGGTGAGGTGACACCCCGCCCTGCTTCAGCTGGCCCTCTGTTGGCTGCATCCACTATCTAATCAGTCCCAGTGAGATGAGCCAGACACCTCAGCTGGAAATGCAGAAATCACCTGCTATCTGCATTGATCTCACTGGGAGCTGCAGACCAGAGCTCTTCCTATTTGGCCATCTTGCATGCAACCTCATAAAAATCTCATAATTTTTAACAGTACTTCACAAACTTTTTGTGGGAGAAAATGACACTATAATCTTCAAGTGTAATCAGAGGAATTCTATACCCTGAATTTTTTGAGTCTATATACTAGGTAAGCTAATTTATAGGTTTGGCA